CTAAAATTAACCTCTTTACACAGAGACCTGCTTTATTTTAAGCCAAATACTGCTGAATAATAATTATCTAAACTCCTCACTCTTCCATCACCTTCCCCTCCCCCTATTCCTGTAAGAACCTTAGGGTTCTTTGTTGGGGAGAGGTGTTCTAAGTTTCTTTTTCTGTGATCTCCCTTATTGCAACATGTCAAAAGATCCCAATTTTTTTGAGCTACAGTTTTGTCCCTGAGAACCTGTAATAGACAGACTTTTTAATGCCCTATCATGATGCTGACATCCTGAGGTCAATAGATGTTATGTTTTGTGTGCCGGTCCTACTTAGCCTACAACCCCAGAGAGTTAAGGCTAACCATCCAGAAAGTCCTAGTGTGAGTAAATATATCCAGACAAAAATCATAAGTATGGAGAGTGAGGAGTGCTGCAGTCAGCCCTTAGAGTTTGAAATTATACAAATGAGTTTCTATCTTGGCTCCAGCCATTTAAATTATGTGCAATTGGTTATTATTTTTCGCTTCATTTTTCTCTTCTATAAAATGGAAAGTAATAATACTTATTTACAGCATTGCTGTGAGGATAAAATGCAATTTATTTATTATAAGCTTGGGACATAGTAAACTCTCACTCAGTGCTGGGTGGGTTTTATTTTTTGGGGTTGTGGGCTTCATCTACAGTCAAAGATAAATAATGTCACATCTCCACATTTCCATTTATAACTTTTTTAAATCTTAGGTAAGTCATTTTATGTCACTTTGCCTCAGATACAAAAAGGGAATAAGAAGAGAAATCTGGCAAAGTTTTGTTATTAAGTGTGGTATCATACTGAACATGGCTAGTGCAGCATCTGGTAAGTAGCAGACATTTTATTAATGCTTATTTTCTTTTCTTCCTACACTTGTTTTCTGGTTATGCTTTGAGAAATATGATAATTGAAAGGAGTACAGTTTGAAGAGGATATTTTATTTAACGTGTCTTTGTTCGTGTTACTATTTAAAAAAAGAACAAAGTCTGGGTTATTTATAAAGAACATAACTTTATTTCCTATAGTACGGGAGTCTGATAAGTCCGAGATGAAGTCACCAGCATGTTTAGTGAACTGGTAAGAGCTTTTTCCATTGATGGCATCTTCTCTAGGCAGCATCCTCACATGACAGAAGGGGGAAGGGCAAAAAAAAAAAAAGAGGAATTCTGCCTCTTCTCATGGTAGAAGAGATAGAGATGGAATGGCCAATGGAATTCTAGGGTTCTCCCTTCAGTCTCTGCTATAAGGTAACTAATTTCATTTACAAAGTCTTCACCATCACAACTTAGTTATCTCCTAAAGGCCCCAGCTCTTAATATTATCACATTCAGGATTATATATCAACATATGAATTTTGGGGGATATATTCATCTTATAGCAATATGTATCTGTTATATGGAAGTTGAGCTCTATATAATAGGGTTTTCTCCTTGCTCACCTCCACATAGTATGTCTCTATCTATTGTCTAGAGCAAGGATTATTCTTATAGATGATCAGTCATATGTGGATGGAACCATTGTCCCTCAGGAAAGTGTTTCTGAGTCTTCTGATAACTGCACATATACGTGTGTGGCAGTGGGCGGGGTGGGGGGGGGTGTAGGTGGATGTGTTAAGGGTAGTGGTTTTGCTGATAGTCTCCTTTCCATTCCAGATATCAACTTAATCTTAATTCCCCCAGAGTAAGAAGAGAAAAATTAGCCATTAGAAATGTTTAAGCAGTTTATATTTCAGGAGTTCTGGTAATAAATATAAATAGCAAAGTAGAAGACTGAAGACAGTGCCAAATTAAAAATATTTTTGCTCTTTGCAGTTAGAATTTTAGGTTCTTATCTAGGACGTACATGTGGATATTTTCTTTTTCTTTTTAGATTCTTCATTTCATGTATTCTGCCTTCCCTATTTCCAGGTACCTAAGACTCCTCACTCAGAATTAATAAAGGTACAAGCGCACTGTTCTGTCATCTGTCTTACATATACTTTTACTTTTCAAATTTTCTGTTTATCAAAGGCATTCGTGTATATGTGTGTATATATGTGTATAAACCTATGAAATATAGCTTGAAATTAAAATTAATTATTATAAATCCTTTTATGAGATTTATTTTAAAAGTTGGAGCAAGGGTATCAATATCCTTCTTGAAAGCAGAAATCTTATCTAATTTTGTGCCTGAATGCTTACCTCCCATTCTTAGGTTTCTTAGTTTTGCTTTGCTTTGTTTTCATAAACTAATTAAAAAACAGGAGAACAACCCAACCAACAAAGACATAAGCTTCTGAATCACTTTAGTTCTTTTATCTCCAATTTGTAGATGCAGTTCTGATTCCAAGGTATCTTTTAGAGACCAAGGAAACTGAGAATAATATAAGAAAAAATTTGGAAATATCACTACATATTATAAAGCAGCCACTCTGATTCAAAATAATAGATGGGGTCTTCAATCGAGGTTTCATGAGATTAACAAACAAACCAGAGAGAGTTTAGTTTATGAAGCACCTCCCTTTTATACTCTAGCTTATGTGATGTTTTCCAAGGAAACATTCATTCTTCATGAGCCTGTTGATTCTAGGAATCTGTAAGTAATTCTTAACCAGAAGCATGTGGGAGAAGAAAGTGTGCATTATAATTGCCTTTGAGAGGATGGTATCTCATCCCCTAGTAATGCAGCTCAATAATTATAGCAAAATCTACTCAATGAACTTGGCCATTTAGAGGCCTCAGGAGGTGCAAATATGGGTACTAAGAGCTAAGCTAGATATGTTCTCTCTAATATTGCCTCAAGAAGTCCAAAAAAGTTCTCTCCTCTGTGTACTGAAGCTAAAACATGAGAAGGGACTATGCCTCACTCGTTCCCCACTTTAAAAATCTGTACCTTAGCTTGTAAATAGTCTATTCCACGAAAAACGTGGCATAGCTGGCACAGTTTCACTATTCACAATGCAGACATATTGAAGATTCTTGGTCTGTTCTTTGTGCTGAGACAATACAAACAGTCGTGAATGATGCAAGGTTCAGAATAATGTCTCACAACTTTTGTGTAGCTTCAAGTTTGCTGGCCTTTAATTTCTGCTGCCATGGAAACTGTCCTGAATAGCACAGACTCTCAGTGTTTTCCTGCAGGCGGAGTGACAACATATCTAAGAAGAGTGATACTGTCCCTATTACCATCAATCAATATTTATTGAACTCCAGCAGCCTGTCTTGAGCCCCATTAGGAGCTCTGCGCTGAAGCTTGCCCCCAGCTTGTGTATGGTTGACCTGAGACCCAGGAAGTCAGACAGGTGAAATGAAGCAGCTCCAGAATATGGCAAAGAATTAAGGCTATAAATTCTGCAGAATTAGAGCTTTAGTGACTGAAGCCCTTAGGTCTTGGTGAAAATTTAAAAACACTCTAAATGTCAAGGTATGAACCAAAGGAATTTAGGTCTCATCAGAAACAGCAACACTGGAATTATGTACTTTGAGAGTGCACATGTTTGGTAGCTGCTTCTTTTGTTAGTGTTCCTTACTGTGTTTTCTACTGTTTGATATTTTAGATTCCTATTCTGTGAACATCCTTTTGAATGTCTGGAGGCTTTGTTATTTACCAAGTGTTTTATAGAACCACAGAGCTTGAAGCATCTACAAGGGTAAAGTTTCTTGATCAACTCCTTCTGTTGAGATTCATGTCTTAATTATAAGTTGTGTCTTAATTTTGAGTCTCTCATAAGTCCTCTCCCCACGCCTTCACCCTCTGTTTCTTTTCATGGCCTGTTTCCTGGAACAGAGTATCCCACGGCAGCCTCAGATGAAGCATTAGTCTTTCCTTAAGTTTTTCCTTCTCTAAACTTACATCTCAGCTCTTGCATTTCATATCTTTTGGTGCTCTTGCTTTTTTCCTGTTCCTTATCCCATGAAAAAATGAAAATTAAAGTAAAACAGCATCAAAACCCAGCATTATGTTCTGCTCGTTTACTGTTTCTCTTGTTTAGAATTTTCTTTCCTTTACTAACTTTATCTATTTGGGCCTGACTTTTCTGATTCTATGAGTTAGTTAGATTGCTTCCTCCCCAGTGAAGCTTTATCCCATTTCTAATATCTAGTTACTTACTTCCTCCCTGTTTCTGCTATACTTAAAAATATTCAATGATAGCATTTAATCCATTGTATTATATTATTTAAATGTCTGACTGTGTTTTCCTGCGAACTCCTTCATTGAAGTGCCTATATCTAGATCATTTATCCTGACAGCTGCTTTAAGCTCAGTGACTGGTATCAATACAGATATGTTTATTGAAATCAATGTACTAATAAAACATAAGATTTAACAAAGAAAACAAATGGACTTTCTCCAACCTCACTGTTTGTTCCTTTAGAGTAATGTACTACCTTACATCTATAATCTATCAGAGGTTAGAAACTAGAGCCAAAATATCACTGTTGTTGACCTTATATGTCAGTGCATGACACATACCCAACAAATATTAGTTTATATTAGGTTATATTAAGTCAGTTAATAATGATGAGTTAAAATTGTTAAACACTCACAATATAATGCCTGGATCCACCAAATGATTCAATGGCTCCAATTCCTGGCAGCAAATAGTGACATTAGCAGAAACTCTGAAAAACTGCTTTTATGTCCAGAAAGCTTGATTACAAATATCATACCACTGTATTTTAGTTTTTGTGGAGATATAAAGGTTTTGGCAATGGAGAAGAAGAATTGATATTTTGAGACATTCTGCTAGGATATGAATAACTACAACCTTAGCTCATGGTGAGGTTTTTTGTTTTGTTTTGTTTTGTTTTACCTAGGTCTGTTTTCCATTTTCCAAATGGAGAAATTTAAAAAACAGGGTTGTACATGTGTTCATCTGTGGAAACTCTGTTGCTAACATTTTAATGACATTATCACATTATCTGCTACATTTTTTTTTTAAGCATAGTCACCATTTCATTCTGGCTAGAACAGGTAAGTAGAAAGCTTGAAGATAATTTTATTTTTTTTCTGTTCGAAAATGACATATATTTTTTCAGTTTGGGATTGTTGGAACCAGAGTCAGACAACACAGAAAAGGACACCACCATTTTCCGCATAGGTGGCACATAGTAAGTCAAATAGGTCGCACTGTTCAAGGGTAGATTGGGCAGTATAGTACAAAGATATAGCTTTTCAAATCGTCTTATATGTCTTGACTGTGATTTCATCATTTATTGTGAAGTGCTGTGATACTCCTACATAGCCATTCAAATGTAAAATCTGGGACATTACAAAGTTAAATAAGAATGGGAAGTTATTTGCTATTTTGGCTTATTTGCACCATTTTTATCCTTCGACTATATAAGTCAACATATTAAATAGATTGCTGATAAGAAACAAAGCCAGAAACCAGGGGGAAAAATCAGAATTAGATATTAAACTTGAGTTTCTAATCTGTTGCCTAGTTACTGAGCCATGCTGTTTCCATAATATATTTTTGTCACAATTATTAACTCTGGTATTTACATTTGTAACCCTATCTTTGTTTTGTACATTTTTCATAATGGTGCCAAGGTACGCAGTTTATTGCATTAGACTCGAATGATATCAAGCTCCTGAAATTTTCACTCTTTGTTTAAAAAAAAATCCTAAAGTCATTCCAAAAAATGTTTTAGCAAAATTCATAAATAGAGAAATTATGTTCCCCATGTAGTAATTTTAGATCCTAAATGAGAGGTAGCATTTAAAATATGAATATTATTGTCAATTTATAAATATGTAGTCTTTCAGGCCATTGTATCATCTTGTTAAATATCCTCAGGCACTTTGAAACATATATTTTCTGAATGACCATATTTTTGAACATGTTGAAAGCGTTCGTCACCATATTTTACCAGTAGGTTCCACTATGTTTTCTTGCCATGAGGACTCAGCTGCTTCTTTCTCTGAAACCTGCCAGAAGATTCATTATGGAGGCTTTCTTTTAATGCCTTTGTTCCCTTTCTTTCAATTACATAATTCTTTAACACCTGCCATCCTTCTGTTGCCCTAAGGTGGTATTAAGAATTTGATGATTTGCCCTAAGATGGGGGAGGAGAAAACAACGTACTGTTTTCTCCTCCCGCATCTCCTCTGTTTTCTATAATGATTACTAAGCAAGAATATTTACTTTTCAGGAAAGAAGAATAAATGAAAAATTAAGCACATAAGCCAAAGGAGGGAAAATATGACAGTTGCACACAGTGGATACTAAAAGCTCATTATCATCTTGCTGTGACTGGTAACCAATCAGTGTGATTGACAGAGGGGAAAGAGAAAGGTCTGCCATGGCCAGTTTTCAACTATAAAAATAAAAACAATTAAGCAAATTCTGTGTAGAACATCTGCTCTAAAATCTCAATAAATTTTAATTTATCATAAAGCAAATTACAGTCAAAGGTTAAAAGTATTAATAACCCTCATTAAATCAACAAATTATCAAGAATGCCTATGTGTCAGGAATGGTCTTAGATATTGAGTACACAGTACTGAGTAGATGGACAAAGTCTTTGACCTCATAAAGCTTAGCATATAGCTATATTTGATATTATATGATGATTTTTATGCCTTTGTCAGTATTTGAGCTTTCTGTTCCCATTTCTAAAGAGAGCTGGAGTCTAAGGGAACATTGACCTACCTCCAATTTACCCGTCTTTGATTTTCCCAGACTCTCTTGCAATCCTTCCTTCACACTAAATAGGGTTTTCCTGTGTCCCCTTCAGCAAAGTATTTCTTCTTATTTAATAAATGAAAGTAACAAAGAAATCTGGAAAAAAATAAATAAGAAAAGACTATTCACATTTACATTAAGTATAATATCGACATGCTAGTGACGAGTGTGTTTTCATTGGCCTCTGCTTTAAACTCCTAATCATCAAGGTTATGGTTACTACCTTTCTGAGACTGAGAAAAGACACCCTCCTTCCATTTTTTTAACGATCATTCTGCTTTGCAAATTAACAGATTTATATCAAATAAGCAAATAAAGAAAAATGATAATACCACACAAAGGTATTGGTTTGTCTCATGATGTTTACCTCTATTATTAATCAGAATGTTAAAAGACATACCTGCCCTCAAGACATTCTTAATCTAATTATGAACTGTAATAAATAACTACCATAAAGATAGAGGATCCCCAGATTATCTGTATTAGGAGAAAATATATCAAAGCCAATTAATTTGGGTTACTGTTGTAGGGAATACCTCACCGAAGACAAGAAATGTAATCTGAATGTTAAGGGCTAAATAAAAATAAAACTGCTAGATCTTCAAAGTTAATAAAATAAGATAGAAACGAGGTGTAAGAATTCACAAAGTTGTCCAGGACTAGTGCAGTAGCTCCCCCTTATCTAGCCACTTAGTAGCTGTCTAAGCAATCAGGTCAAATATCACAATGTTGTAGTATTTGTGTTGAAGTCACCTTTATTTGACTTAATTATGTCCCCGAAGTGTAAGAATAGTGATGCTGGCATGTTGTTATCATTGTTTTATTTTATTATTAGTTATTGTTGTTACTCTCTTACTGTGCCTGATTTATAAATTAAACTTTATCATAAGTACGCATATATTGTTATCGGATTCAGTATGATCCCTGGTATCAAGCGTCCACTGGGGTCTTGAAAAGTATCTTTCATGATTAAGGGGGGACTACTATAAAAAGAAAAGTCTGGTATATGGTGAGTGGTAGGAAGTGGAGTTAAGTGTAGTCATTACTTTATAGTTTCTATTGAACTTAAACCTATAGACAATAGAGAATTAATGAAAGTTGTTGAAAAGAAAATGATGAATGAAAGTGTCTTCAGCTCTGTAAGACAGATTAGCATATAGCTACACAAAAGGCTAGGGACAAGATAGAGAAATAAAACAATAGTTAGTTGAAGATAATAAATCCATTGTAGTGTTAGTAGTAACAACATATGGGTTTGGGAGCTATTAGGAAAGAAAAAATGACTGTACTGACTAATTTGATAAAGGATAAAATTTGAAAGTGGTCAACTGAACAACATTCGAGAATTTACTCATTCAACTAGAAGAAAATAGTAAAACTTCAGTGATCCATTACTTCTTTTCAACAGCTTGTTTCCTTAATGGAATAGTAGAAATAACATCATAGGACAAGAATTATGTTAATTAGCATCTCTTTAGCCCTTTCCTGTTTCCTTTACAAGTTACTTTCTTTAGCACCTGCTTCTTAACATAGTAAATAAGAGTTGGTAAGCTCTACCAAGATTAACATTATTCTTCTGACCTTAAGCTGAGCATTATATTAGAAGTGTCTATTCCAGCCAGCAGTACAATGAAGCAGCTAGACAAACAAATGATCCTTCTTAATTTGTTTTGTTTTTTGTTTTTTGAGAGAATCTCCCTCTGTCACCAGGCTGGAGTACAGTGGCACAATCTCAGCTCACTGCAACCTCTGACTCCCAGGTTCAAGTGATTCTCCTGCCTCAGCCTCCTGAGTAGCTGCAACTACAGGTATGCATCACCACGCCCAGTTATTTTTTTGTATTTTTAGTAGAGATGGGGTTTCACCATGTTGGCCAAGATGGTCTTGATTTTCTGACCTTGTGATCTGCCCACCTCAGCCTCCCAAAGTGCTGGGACTACAGAGGTGAGCCACCTTGCCTGGTTTCCTCCTTGATGTTATTGTTAGAATGGCGTACACTCTGATCTTAAAGATTAATGTATTATACTTCCTGGAGACAATCCTGACATTGTCTTCAAATAAGCCACTCATATTTTAATTAATATGCACAATGGCTCTGACATTTGATAAAAGCTTTATTTAAGTGGACCATAGTCAGCTGCAACTCAGCCAGGCTGGAACTACAAGGTCTCATTTGATCACATTTTAAATTGGACCTAAGTAATGAAAACTCAAATGGAGCCTTAAATGGCTGTCATTTTATATCAACCCAGAAGTTCATTTCAAAACTCATTATATACTATCAATTATCTTGCTGAGATATGAGTGGAGGATTCATATTCTAAAAGGCATGTCTGAATCTTACAGACAATGTATGGGAGTTTACTAGAAAACAATGCTTTTGTATATAGAATTGTAAACTAAGAAATGTTAATTTTTAAAAAGCTGAGCAACATTTTGGTGTGATAGACTTTTTTATATTGTGAAAGTTTAATTTATGTAGAAAGAAAATGTCACTGTTTTACTGATAATTAAAACAAACAATTTCAATTGCAGAAATGTTGGAAGATAATTTCCAATGATTGTTAATAAAATTTCTTTATCATTGGTCCTTTTTTATTAAACTCTGATGTATTGAAAATATCCACACCTTACCAATATTCAAATGTGCATGCTGGATAAGCTTGTGACATATCTGTTACCCATAGGTTTATATATTAAAATTTTATAACTCTGTGTGCTATTTTTTTCATCGGCATATTTTCTTATCAATAATAATTCTCCAAACCATGGTTTTTGCTGGTTACATAATATTCAATTGTGTGAATACATAATTCCCCTAATCTTTGTTTTGTTTGTTTGTTTTGAGATAGGGTCTCATTCCATCACCCAGGCTGGAATGAAGTGATGTGATCCTGGCTCACTGCAGCCTCGACCTCCCAGGCTTAGGTTATCCTCCCACCGTAGCCTCCCGGGTAGCTGTGACTACAGGCAAGCTTCACTTTCTACTTTGATACTAATTTAGCCACACTAATTTCTTATGCGTTGTGTTTATGTGGTGTATCTTTTCCACCCTTTTATTTTCAATCTGTCTATGACCTTTTAAAGTGTTTTTTTTTTTAAGTGTATAGTTGAATGTTGCTTTTTATATACAGTCTGAGCACTCTGTTTCTCTATTGGAGTGTGTCACCATTAACATTTAATATGACTATATATCTGAATTTGAGCCTCTGGTTTTTTTCTCTGTTTTTCCTTTCCTGTTTTCTTTTATTTACTCAATTTAATTTCTGATGTAATGCTTTGTGTTATTTTGGTGGTTGATTTAGAGATTACTATATGTATCCATATGGCCTATCTGTAAATAACAATAATTGAGCAAGGTAATTAACTTCACAATAGTGTAATTCTGTTTACCCTCTACCTACCTGTATGTTCTTGGATATTTTACTTCTACTTATATCTTAAACCCAATAATATGTTATTATTATTGATTTACACACTCAAGAGTCTTTTAAAGAAATTTAATTGTGTGTGTATAGGTAGATCATTTAATAGCATAAATTTACTCTGTAGGTCTTAACATACAGTTAAAAAATACAGATTATTCCAAACTTTACAGTAAATTCTTATCAAAACTTAGTTTTTTTCCACATAAAAATTATGTTTGTTAAATGCACATTATGATTCTGTTACTGGAAAAGGGTTGCAATCCAGACCCCAAAAGATGGCTCTTGGATCTCATGTAGGAAAGTATTCAAGGCAAATCTATAGAGTAAAGTGAAAAGAAGTTTGTTAGGAAAGTAAAGGAATAAAGCATGGCTACACCATAGGTGGAGCAGCCCCAAGGCCTGCTAGTTGGCTATTTTTATGGTTATTTCTTGATTATGCAAACAAGGGGTAGATTATTCATGAGTTTTCTGGGAAAGGGGTGAGCAATTCCCAGAACTGAAGGTCATTCCTCTTTCAGACCATATAGGGTAACTTCCTAATGTTGGCATGGCATCTGTAAACTGTCATGGCACTGGTGGGAGTATTTTTTAGCATGCAGATGTATTATAATTAACATATAATGAGCAGTGAGGATGACTTTCAGAGGTCACTTTTTTATTATTATATTTTAAGTTCTGGGGTACACGTACAGATCTTGCAGGACTGTTATATAGGTATACATATGCCAGGGTGGTTTGCTGCCTCCATCCCCCCCATCACCTACATTAGGTATTTCTCCTAATGTTATTCCTCCCCAGTCTCTCTGCCCCCTGCTACTTCTTTCCCTAGCCCCCCACCCTCAACAGCCCCCAGTGTATGCTGTTCTCCTCCCTGTGTCCATGTGTCTTCATTGTTCAACACCCACTTATGAGTGAGAACATATGGTGTTTGGTTTTCTTTTCTTGTGTCAGTTTGCTGAGAATGATGGTTTCCAGCTTCATCCATGTCCCTGCAAAGCAAAGGGCATGAACTCATCATTTTTTATGGCTGCATAGTATTCCATGGTATATGTATGTGTGTATATATATATATATATATATATATATATATATTCCATTAGTTATGACCCTCTAGAGAACCCTCACTAATACAAATGCCTAACCTCCTGATAGTACAGCCCAATAGATCTAAGTCTTATTTTACCCACCCGGTATTCAAGATGGAGTTACTGGAGTTCAAACACCTCTGGCAATTCCATAATACATGGGGATGGGGGTGGGCAAGGCTGGTATTTTAGGTGTCTCATATGCACTTAGTTAACAACTGTTCTGCCTGTCCATGGTCCAGACTAATAAAAGTAATACATTAGCTTGCCCAATTGCTCTCTCCAGCATAATATCTAGCACCTATTTGGATGTCTCCACTCTCACAACCCCTTAGAAATACGGAGCTGAGAACCTGGCTTTGTGAATGAGAAAACCTAAGGATTAAGGAAGGCATTTTTTGTCTCATTGTTTCAAGATACTTACTAGTAATTGGCATTGCTATTGTTATTTTCATTAGGCTGGGGGAAAATTTTTACAAGATAGGAATTATAGTAGTTACCTCATTTCTTTTTTAAAGTCAACCTATACAGTTTAATTTATTCTTTCCTATACTTTGGCTAAAACAAAAAAATATTCAGTGAT